AGGAAAAAATGTTTCGACTAATTATGACAAAAATTGATTTTCCGAAGACCCCTTTTCTGTAGCACCAAGCCCATATTATTGAACCCCCTAGTTAACTAGATTATTACACGTCAACTATTGGAACTAAACTGCGCTACATTATTCGTTCTCCCAATTTACAATAGTAACAACATACGTATAAAAATTAGATTCAATGTAAAATTAAATTTAGTATGAGCTTGTTTAAAACGAATATGCAAATCATCATTTCAGTGTTAAATACGGTTTTACCAAAAAATCCCGAAAACAATTTTTTCCCGGAACCATTTAACCGCATAAAAATTGTTCCATAATTTCGGGCCAAATTATGTTGATCATGGGCCAAGGTTATCTTAATGCCAGCCGAGTTAATACGATTAAACGGTTAAATGATTAAAGAAATTCTAGGCTCCCTAGACTAAATTGGCCAACATTATAACTAATGCCGGCTAGCCTTGTCAGTATTAGGTCCTTTAGGGAATCGGTAAATACTCCACTATTTGAATAATTGGTGCACCAATCAAAAGTGGTGGGTAAACTGATAAAGTTTGTCTAGTTTATTAACTTATCATTATGTTGGTTGTATTTATAAAATATTCAGAATGGAGTCATTTTTGTCATAGAAACAAAACAAAAACCATACATTTTGAACTTTTTTAAAAAATTTAAAATGTATAGTTTTTGTTTTGTTTCTATGACAAAAATAACTCCATTCTAAACATTTTTTAAACACAACCGACATAAGTTTAATAAAAACTATATAATAGAGGGTAAGATATCTTTATGTATTTTCGAATTACTATAAAGTTACTGTCAATTTAATAAAAGAAAAATCTCGATTTCAAAATGAATTTTAAACTCTTGTTAACCTTAGCTGCAGTCCTCGCAATTATTTTCTCTTCAACTGTTTCAAGCTCGCCAATCCTTAAGAGTAATAATAAATTATTTCTTTCTTTTTTTTATTTGTATAACTGTTTAGTCATTATAGGAACAATTTATTCTGATAATTTTATTAATTGCATTATACTATATCCAGATAAACGCGACGGCGACGGTATGATTAACTTTTTAAATAAAACTTCTCTAATCAAATATATCTCTAATTAATTGTACTTGAATTTAATAGTGATGTGAGCAGAAAGTTAATTAATCTAACAATGAAAATTTTAATTGAAGTTTCTAATCAATTTAAATTTGAAAATTTTTTAATCTTTCAAAACTTCTTAATTGATATATATATAAATTAAATCATTAGTCTGTGAGTAAAGAATTAGAAATTTTTTATAACTTATAATTCAATAAAACTTATCTAATCGGTTATATAAATGAAATCACTAGCGAGTGAGTAAAGAATATTTTGTAAATTAAAATTATAACATATAATTAAATGAAACTCACTAATTGATTATATAATTAAATTATTAGCGGGTGAGTACAGAATTATTTTGTAAATTGAAATTTTTATAACTTATAATTCAATAAAACTTATCAATCGATTACATAAATTAATCATCAGTCGGTGAGTAAAGAATTATTTTTTAAATTAAAATATTGTAATTTATAATTAGATAAAACTTATTTAATCGATTACATAAATTAAATCATCAGTCGGTGAGTAAAGAATTATTTTGTAAATTGAATTTTTACAACCGATAATTAAATAAAACTTCTCTAATCGATTATATAAATGAAATCACTAGCGAGTGAGTAAAGAATTATTTTGTAAATTGAAATTTTACAACCTGTAATTAAATAAGACTTCTCTAATCAATTACATTAATTAATCATTAGTTGGTGAGTACAGAATTAATTTGTAAATAGAAATTTTATGACCTATAATTAAATATTTTCTAATCGATTATATGAATTAAATCTTTAGTTCGTGAGTACAGAATCATTTTGCAAATAGAAATTTTATAATCTATAACCAAATAAAACTTATCTAATCGATTACATAAATTAAATCATTAGATCGTGAGTACAGAATCATTTTGTAAATTGAAATTTTACAACCCGTAATTAAATGAGACTTCTCTAATCAATTACATTAATTAAATCATTAGTTGGTGAGTATAGAATTAATTTGTAAATTGAAATTTTATAACTTATAATTAATAAAACTTATCTGATCGATTGCATGAATTAATCATTAGCGGGTGAGTAAAGAATTATTTTGTTAATTGAAGTTATAAATAAATAAAACTTATCTAGCTAATTACATAATTTAAATCATTAGCGTGTGAGTAAAGGATTATTTTGCAAATTGAAATTTTACAACGTGTAATTAAGTAACCTTTTTCTAATCGATTATTCATGAATTAAATCATTAGGGGGTGAGTGAAGAATTCTTTTGTAGATTGAAATTTATAGCATATAATTAAATAAAACTTTTGCAATCGATTATATAAATTAAATCATTAGCCAGTGAGTACAGAATAATTTTGTAAATTGAAATTTTTATAACTTATAATTAAATAAAACTTTATAATCAATTACATGAAATAAAGCATTAGTTGGTGAGTATAGAATAATTTGTATATTGAAATTTTATAACTTATGATTAATCGATTATATGAATTAAATCAATAGAGCTTGAGTTGTACGTAACGGAGGAATTTTTCGACGTCGAATACGATCCCGAAAATCCTAAGAATCCTTGAAATTTACCTAAATTGTGAAAATTATCCAATTACATAAAAATAAGTCGATAGTAAAAATCCTTTAAACCTTAGTATTTTCAGTATTTACCTTATTTTTAGCATTTTCTTTATTTGTAGTATTTTCTTGGATTTTGTTATTTGTATCTTTTTCGTCGTGTTGTTAGAGAATATCTTCATGAAATTATTTTATATAGACTTACATAGAATTTTTATATAAATCATATGTAAAAAATTTACATAAACTTACAAACTCAATGTAGACTTACATAATTATAATTTTTATTTAGACAATAAATATATATTGTGAGACCCGTGTAGGGATGGCTTCGGTCAGGTCATGACCGGTCAATGACTGTAACCGATATTGACCGGTCAGAGAGACCAGTCAAAATTATGACCGATGCCAGATTTTAATTTTCTGACTAGTAAATAATAATTATTATTGCAACATGAAGTCATAAAATCATATTGGAAGAACTGTATCATCAAATAAATAGAGAAACCCATCGTTCATAATTCTGGCCAAATTTGCAGATCATTTGGCCAGAACTAAAACAAACAATTTTAAATCTGGTTAAATGATCTGCAGTGTATATCGGCCCATCATCATTAAAATTGCCAGTAAAAGAAATATTTATTATTTTTCTAAGAATTTTTTTTTTCAATGTATTCTACTATTAGGCCTGGATAAAGGAGCGGATGACTATTTAATAAAACCATTTTCTGCACGAGAATTAATTACCCGTATTCGCACTAATATTAAGCTCTCTATTATTCGGCGTGAAATATACTTTCAACGATTTGAACAAGAAAGAACAAAACAATTACTATTTACGATATCGAACACGATTCTTTCCGAAGTAGATCTAAATAAAAAGTTTCTAAATGTTATTAAAGAAATCTATAATAGATTACCATGTGATAGGATATTTATTATTTCAAATGAACAGTCTGAATCAAACAATAAAATAGTTGCTTTATATGAAGATTTGGAAAATATAACTCCGATAATTAATCCTTTCTTGGAAATTAATTATAAAAATAAATCCCAAACATTTACTAAATCACAAGAATATTTAAATAATAACTCAGGAATAAATATTTCCTTAGATGAATATTGTGATAATGTTAATAAAAATGCATCAATATTATCTATAGAAATAATATTGAATAATGGCTCTTGGGGATGGTTAAAATTGCACAGATCTCCGAATTCAATTTGGCTTGATTCTGAAATAGAGTTATTACAACAGGTATCGAATCAAATAAGTTTAGCTATTACTTATGCAGAATTAATAGAAGAGAATGCCAAAAAGGAAATTCAAATAAAAGTTGCTGAAGCTGCAAATGTTACTAAGAGTCAAATATTAGCAAATACTTCTCATGGTAAATTATTGTCCTTTGTATACGCTACTAAAATTTTCTCTTGTTAATTAATTTCTTTCTTTTTATAGAATTACGAACTCCACTAGGTGCAATAGTGGGTATTCTTTCTTCTTTTGATACCAATACCTTATCAGCTGATCAAAGGGACATGATTACTATTATGGCACGTGCATCTGATATAGTGTTATCCATTGTAAATGATATTCTTGATGTAGCAAAGTTAGAAGCACACAAAGTCACTCTTATAAATAGAACATTTGATTTATTAGATTTGTTAGATAGTAAAATTGATGAATTTGGAAAAAAAGCCGGGAATAAAAATGTTGAGCTAATTATAAATTACGAGACAGATTCGTTGCCAAGATATGTTAAGAGTGATCCAGAAAGGTGATTGACCTTTTATTATAAATGTTAAAATATATGATTATATTTCTTACCTTATCTTTCTTATCTTTTAAATAGATTAAACCAAGTTTTATCTAGTTTATTATCGAATTCGTAATTATTATTTACATTCTTTATTGATATTTTTTTTTGTAACAATTATAATAATTTATTTTAATTCTTTCAGAGTTAAATTTACTGATCAAGGTAAAATTATATTAAGAATTTCAATGCAATCACAAGCCAATGATAAAAACAAAGAGGATCCAACTTACAATCAAATTGTTAAAAAAGAAAATCTTTTAATAGAATTATATGATACTGGTATTGGGTAAGTTACTTTGATTATATACTTTATATTTTAAATTGTATCAGTTATGTAATCTATAATAATTAATTTAAATAATAGCATGGATCCAAAATATATACAACATGCTTGGAAAAGCTTTTCGCAGGGTGACATGTCATTAACTAGGAGACAAGATGGTACAGGGCTTGGTCTTTCGATTTGTAAAAATCTTGTAGAAATTAACGGAGGAGAAATTAATGCAAAAAGTCAATTGGGAAAAGGAAGTAAATTTTGGTTTACATGGAATGTTGAATCATTAACAATGACTCATTCGTTATTAGAGACTCAATATGATGAGCAAATAGGTCATGCTACAAGAAAAAAGCGAATGCTAATAATTCACCCAGTTGAAGATGTGAGAAATGCAATGTTAAAATATCTCAAAATGATTGAAAAAGTTGATGCATTTGACACCTTTGACAAAGGTATTACAGCAGCAAAAAGATATGAAGAATTACATAATCGACCTGCTTATAATATAACATTTATTGGCCTTTATGAAAATAATAAAGAAGAAGTCTTGAAAGCAGCTTTAGAACTAAGAGGATTAGGAATAAATAGTAAAAATTTAGAAATAATATTTATAGTATTTCCGAATTATGAAATGAATGAATTGGCAAACAAATTAATCGAAAAAGTTGGGGGAACAACTTCAATTCTTTATACTCCTATTACATTAAAAAAATTAGTTAATCAATTTATGCATTTAGAAAAAAACGACGATAACAATAATTATAAAAGTATTTACACCTAAAAACATTATACCTTTTAACTTAAGATGAATTAGACGAATCTTTTAAACTTAAGATGACTTAGTCGATAATCTGCTTTTATTTTTTCAAAAATTTATCTTTTTTTTTTTTTTTAAAAAAAAAAAAAATTCTAAAGTCTTTAACATATGCACTTGAATTTTTAATATTTTATAATTATTATCACATATACAATTTATTATAAAACTTTATAATTTATATGATAATTTATTTTCACAGCTTTTTCTAAAATATTTTTAATTCTTTAAATATTTTAATATGAATAATTTAAACTTATCCATAAGGCTAGATTCACTAGTTAATTAAAATTTGTTGGTTGTTATAGCGCTTTGCAATAAAATGTGACACCGTGATTTTTGTGATGATAGTAGTTAGAAATTTCTGAGATTTAAAATTCCTATCAATTACATATTTCAATAAGCAATTGTATATTTTGTTTAAAATCTTTAAAATTGTTGGAGAATCAAAATTTGCTAAAATCTGCTGATTTCACATGAAATCATGATCTGCAGGTGTCACTAATGCTCCGAATGGGTCAAGTTCGGGTCGGTTATGGCCAACCCGAACCGAACCCGAACCCGACCAGACTCGAACCCGACCCGAAATTATTAAAGCTAACATTTTAAATTTTAAACTTTGGTCAAAATGTCACGGATGACTATCAATTGTTATTGGCTAACATAGAGGTCGAAACCGAATTATGAAATTCAACTTCAACTTTGGGTTAAGCCGGTTTAAATAGTAAATCGGTTTGTAGTTCTAATTCGGTTGTAACCCTCAGACAAACCGGTTTTTAAATTAGCATTCGGTTTTATTTTATTTTCTATCTAACGCTAACAACATTATATCCAATGTAACAAACAAAGCAATGATTTTCTTTTCGGCAAAATATTTATCCGACAATTCGAATTAAATTCGGTTTAAGCCAATCGGCTTAACATAAATCGGTTTTTTCATAATCGTATTTAACCAATTCGGGTTTTAAATTTTACAACCGATTCCGACCTCTATGCTAACATCAATTTCCAGCCAAAATTATGATTAACGGCCTAAATTACGTTAAAGGCCAAATCCGTGACAGTTTTGTTGCAGAGACTGTGCAGCATTATTTTTGTAATTCGGACCAGTATGCATAATTCTGGTCAGCAAACATAATATGAAATACCCGACAAATTTTTACGGATCTACATGCAGTTTTTAAAACTTTGAGCGAAGTTTATTTAATAACTACCTAATCATGTTCAAAAAAATTTTATATTTCAATTCTTCTACATGTCTGTAGAATTAAAATAAAAAAATTTTCATCAAATTTGACTAAATGGTTGTCGAAAAAACTTCACTCAAAGTTTGAGAAGATTTATCCCGCATATAAACAAATAACTGCGACTAACTTTTTTTTAAAACTTTGATTATTTTAACTATACAGAAATGTAAAATTGAAATAAAAAAATTTTATTGAGTTTTATTAGGTAGTTATCGAGAAAAATTCGCTCAAAGCTTGGGAAAATTAATCGTGACTTCAAAAAAAGTGATAGAGACCCAACTTTTTTAAACTTTGATCGAAATTTTTTTGACAACTTTTACCCAACTAGTGATAGGAATGCGCTGGATCTGCACGGAATTTTTTGCAAGTTGACTCGCGGTCATCGAATTGAAAAGACAGACCAAGTACGGAAGTATGCGCATGAGATATAAATAGTAATAACAATAAACAGGGGGTTGGGTCTCATAGCTTAGTTGGTTAAGCTCTCAACTTTTCACAAACAAGGTCAACAGTTCGAGTCTAGTTGGAGGCATTTGTTTCTGTAATTCTTATAAAAACTATTAATTAAATATGAAGCCTTGTAGTAAAACTCGTGTGAAGTATAAGATTCTAGAAAAGGAATTCTTAGAAGGAGATTGATATTATAGAGTAAAGTTGGTGTAACAATACTCTAATTTCTCTGTAATTTTTTTTTCATTATTTTTCTAAGTCTTTTCTTAATAATATGCTAATTACTATAATTAATTTAGTTATATTTAGCTTATCAGTTTATCAAATATAATAAGGATTAATTTAGCAAATGTAACATAGATAGATAAGCATTATTATGACTCATTTACTTTATCCTATAGTGTAATTTTGCTTATTAATGATGTGATTAATATGTATATTAAT